ATATTTCGACCGAGCAGCCTTACTGCATTTAGACGTCAACATGGCTAACCATAAAATAGACAAAACAGTGTTACTTTCCCCGTGAATTAACCCACTCGCGAAATGCGGGCCACAAACTTGACGGTACATTAATGGGATCCATTTGTTAAATGTTCTATCGCTGAATTTAAACCGCAGATAGTGTTTAAATACCACGTGTGAGCCGCACATTATGCGTTGCTTTGTCGTGAAAGCAAATTGGCAATAATAATTTACTTACATAAAAATAAGTCGACTACTCCACGTACTTACATATCATGTTGAATCCTAAAATAATGCATATTTCTCAACTGTAAATGTTTAATTAAAATTCTAATATATTACTCAGCATTATTAAGGTTTTTTTTTTATTTATATACAAAGAAAAAAAGAGAAAGAAAAGCGATTTCCATATACAGGAGGGCTACATACAACCCACAAGGACATCGCCCCCGACTAAATCTTTCGTAATTGTGTTTAAAGATGACAAACGAAGCACACATTCCGCCTGATAAGCCTCGACAGTGGCAATGACATCAATCACAGATAAACAATAAAGAGACAGATGCCAACGACAATTGAGAGGAATGCAGCAAAAGAACTATCTAGAAGACATGCAAAGGTCGCCAATTAAGTAGAAGAAGCTCAAAAAAATTACACATCCTAAAAATGTATAAAATTGTGGTTTTTGTGTAAGAATACTATTTCTCATTTAAATTTATTTAAAAAAAGATAATTAATGGTCTGTCGGAATCAAAAGCTTCTTATCTCGAAAAAAAATTTTCGCACTAGAAAATAACTCTTGTTGGAGATGTTATCTAATGCATTGTTACAAAATCAAAATCACTAAAAACAGTGCACAATATTTTATGTGACGTTTTTTTTATCGTGTGGGACTCGAAAACTTAACACTACGTTGCAATAGTTAATATACCCGAGCAACCTGAGTTCAAAAGCGCCGGCAATGAAATTGTTAATTTTAAGTGCTGACATATCACGTGCTCAGCGGTGAAGGAAAATACCGTGAGGAAGTATGCAGACTTTCGGAATGATATCAAAAAAAATATTTGGAAGGTAATATATGAAGTCCGCAAATCCGCAGTACAGAGGAGGCCTTTACATTTTTTTATTTAATACAAGTTGCCAATTATTTCACACATTCAAACATAAAGATATTTAATTTCCACATACAGACATGAAGGTCAAGATAATAAACGCGTGTTAAAAAGCCCACTCGTGATGGCAACAATATAAACATTTACGTAGCCCACTTTCGTGAAAGTACACTTCAATCGGGAGGCCATAAAGAAAGAAAGAAGAAGCAGTTCAATCGTTGGCTCAGACTGATTCAGTGCCGAGCGACTATACAGCGTGTCGTTACCATCGCGACAATAAATGAACACACGTCTAACGCTACATGCCAATAATCATAAAAAATATTAACGTTAAACAAAATCCATAATTAAAAAAAATTTTTTTTCAAACAAACTAATTAAGTAAAAAAGAAACAAAATTTGTAACATCCTATACAACTCGCGCCACAGCGTCGCATTACACGCCTCTCCTTCTAACAGTATGTTTTGTCTCTTTTAAATTCATTCAACCCATTCATATACTTTGTGACCTTTACAAATGAACTTTACATTACAGTTTTATATGTAAGGGTGTTCTAAAATTGTTTGTTTTGGAAAATTTTATAACTCTGTAAATATTGATGTTTGAAGAATGTAAATGTTTTATACAATTTTAAAAATTTATCCTCTATATGTATGTTCATTTATTGTCGCGGTGGTAACAACACGTTGTATAAAAGTCGCGGTCACGTAGTAGGGACCTGTACGTTGCTTTCGCCCTCGAATGTACATCTAGACTCCAAATCAAATAGAAAATCAATAGAGGGTGTAATATTTGAAGACAGTTTTGTTTTTTTTTTTGTTTATAAAAATGTTTTGCTTGACACAAAAACAATGAGAGTACTATTGTGTCCAAATGAGCGTCTACGTAGTTTTTCTAGAATTTGTAGATATAATACGAATGCTAATAATATGTTTAGCTGGTAATTGTGATGATAATAAAGGTTAATATTTGAAGATACATCAAAGGGCAGCATCATATTTTTTCAGGCAAGGACCTCCGCTGTACGGCATAGTGTGTGACCTCACCGCGGAGGGGCAGACTTCACAATATGTAATAATCGTTGAATGTTTTTTGTTCTTTTATTGGTATTCCTTACAACACAGGATCCAATGTTATCTTAAAGTAAGGGCAATGTTTTCTTTTTTTAAATAAAGACATTGTTTGATATTTTCCTTCGCCGCTGAGCACGTGATTCACTTAAAAGTGCAATCAACAATTTAATCTGTACCCGTACCGGGATTTAAAATAGAGTTGCTTGAAGATCTTGAATTTAAAGCGAGTGCCCGAGCGAGTTTTATAAATATCATTTATTTTGGTGATAGAAAACAAATCAGTTAATCTACCAAGTGTATCTCTGCCTTAGTTTTTCACTGAGTGTTTTAACGAATAAAAAATTAAGATTATCCAAGCTTACTATCGGAAATTATTAGACCAAATATGAATCATCGAAATAAAACGACCGCTACTAAAGATTGCCAGGGCAGTTCGAAATTCAAATATAACGGTTTCATTAAAAAGAAGCAAAACGTTCCGAAACTGGACACCGTTTATGGAAACTAGTTTGTAAGTACGGACCAAGATAGCAAGTCGAAGCTACCAGTTACGGCACTACTAATAAAATTATGAGGACCATTCAAATAGTCTCAAGAGCACTTCTCCGAATTCGAATCGAGGTGACTCTGAGTTTACGACGTTACGCTACTTTAGTAAAGTAAGTAACCGTCTATACATGTCCCACTGCTGGGCAAAGGCCTCCTCTATACTTTAGTATGATAAAATGAAATTCCTTTGATTAATTTTAATTACAAAAGGCAAGATAAATTTGACAATATTGAGAACAAATTTGCATTTTTAAAGCATTTAATTAAAACAAAATCAAAGTCGAAACTTCTTTGTTCATATTATTCTAAGCTCTTATTGAACGACAAAAAACTACCACCGGTTCACAAAAATTAGATCTCTCCAGAGAAAAACGGAAAAGAAACTCTGCGGTCTATCTTTTTTTTTAAATGATATATACAAAATTAGTTGGATATAAAATCAGCAACAGCCAGGGGGCTTGCAAGTGCAGAGCAAGAGTCATTTCCACACATCTTTGACCTCTATGTATTCTTCGACATTATAATAGACACTTTCCATTAAAATAAATGCATCTCTATTGACATACACTTAATCGCTAGTAAACTGTGCATGTCTAGTGTACGTAAAGTGTGATTGATGCTTTTTGACAGACTGTCAACTGTCAGTAACATTATCTCGGTTCTTTGCACATAAAACGTTTCGACTGACATTAGACCACCTGCCCCAACAGCCTGAATAATGTCCGGTGTAACAAATATCCATCTTAAGACAACGATTAAGTAATCTTATAATTCACATGAAACAAATTTTGTTTAAATAGTTTTAACGTGCTAACCGTATCGTCGACGCACCACGTCAATCAGTTAAAGCTATTAGTTTTTTTACCGCCCATTGTACTCTTGAATTGTAACTAAGCTTACTTGTTTCTATGTTCTTTTTCCTAGATGTCCAATAAAGTATACTCATCCTTTTTATTATTAGTAACAATGAATTTCCCGTGTTTCGCGTTTCTCACGTTTCTCAACTGTCTTTGGATTCTCAACTGTATAAATCATACTTTGATTACGTTTCGTAGGTTTAACCGAACACACACTTTAAAACAAATAAGAAACGAAAACACAAAAACAAATTGTGGTCCTTGAAGCGGAGACTGCGGCTTACCGAAGACCGAGACAAATCGAGGTATCTTTTCATGATTTAGACAGCTGTATATACCAGTTTTTATAGGCACCTCTCTTACGACCTAAGGAGAGGCATTTTGAACAATGGACGTAATTCAAGGCCGGCGCATTGACTCTTGGCTTAGGAACACCTGAGTCCGACGGAAAACAAGTCCGTCATTTTTTCGGATCTAACTACGTAATATTTTATAACTAACCGATTTTTTTTTGCGTAAGATAACTACGAAGAATAACATTAAAAGCAGCCAATCAGAGTAAATACTTGTTCACTTTTTCACAGTCCAAATTTATTTTATTAAAATGTATGTGTAGACATGTATAATAAAATGAACTTTATACTTCTACGTACATAACTACGTTTGTTATATTAATATAAAACACAAAAAAGTGTTATTTTTTAATACTTTACATTATTTGATATAGAAGTGTCGCAATAGGACTTTAAACTGCGCACTTCTGGGGAAGGTAGTTGATACATTTTAATCGTAACTTTAACGATGTGGTCGTAAACGGGGTCGTTATCCGATTAAAGGAAAGTACGAATACTCCTCTATAGGGCTGCGTCCGATCTGATACCGTTTCCGGCCTTTGTGCTACACTCACATAAGGACGTGTTTTTCGAAAGAAACACAACCTTAAAATGTGATACTAAATAATGTAACTATTATAGCATTCAGTACGTCTTACAGGTTTATGTTACTATTTTAAACAAGTACTACCCAGTTTTTAGGCGGAATAAAGTTGGTGATAATATTGAGGAAATAGAATTCGAGCAAAATTTTAAGATGTCGGCGTTATTTGCGCTTAATTTACGGATACTGACCGTTAATAAACAAACTTCTCTATCTGATATCTCAAAATAACCTTCCTTAAGTCGTAAACTCCAGAACTATTGGGAGAAAAGGGTTGACTGGTACAGAATGCCATTAGGCGTTAAGTCCGCCCATTTTAACCCTTAGCTTAAAGTGCATCAATGAAATTTGAATAAATAAAATCAATCAACAACCTTTAACTGTGGTAGGTCTACGCAGCTCCTACTGTTGCACGAATAAGAACATAAAGAAACGTCTGTTGGGAGCTCACCTCGACGTCGCGGAACACGTCCCTGATGTCGGGCTTCTTGGCCCTGGAGGCGGCGCGCTTCCTCCGCACGGTGCGGTTGAGCCTGCGCACGCGCCTCCTCACCGCGGCCGCCTGCTCCCTCGGCAGGGGGCGCACCGCCTCGCCCAGCTGCGCCTCGGTCACCTCCAGGCCCGCCTGGAACGGCGCCGCCAGCGAGCCCAGCCCCGCCGCCTGCAGCCACTCCGTCTCCAACTCGCCCTCTGTCGACCGGAGGCATATGTTAACCATGATGATTATTTGTGGACGGCTGGGCGGTAAGTCTCAACGATCGCTGCGACCTAGATCTTGTTTTTTTTTTTCAAAAACATTGCCCTTACTTTACGATAACATTGGATGTTGTAAGGATGTTTTTACAGACATTAATTTCACGTGGACAAACGCCCGGATGCGAAACAACCATCTGTGGGTCACACAAATAGTTGTTCAGTTTGGGAATTGAGCCCACGACCTCCGACGCCGAAGCCAATACCTTGTCAACTGCGCCACGGGGTCATCAATTTATTCTATCTATTGTAGTTCCGAGTTAGATAGCCGCCTCCAAACCAACAACTCTTGCTTCCTTGGTTGTCAACTTGGGCAAGCCCTCGCAGACTTGACTTCTAATATTGACCAGGGCATCGCATTCACAAATTAGGTGAAGCCGTGTCTCCTCGTCATCACCGCGGAATCTACTGAACGGACTCTTCGACAGTTTCATCATGTTTAGTTGCCTTTTTAACTTAGGAGCTACGTAAGTCGAAAGTGAATGATGTAGCGCCTGTACTTGTTTATGTAGCTGAGCTCGCTACTTCGAGGAGCGTGTGATTTTATTTCGTATACTGCTCGACATGCAATCCCGACTTAGGCCATATAGGGCCTCGATCTACTACACTACCTCGGGTCTACCTACGGCACACAAATCTGTGGCCCTGATGAAAACTAAAAAAAGTGAATGACAAAAACATTGTTCTGCTATTATCTTATGTTTTTTATTTATTCTATAAACTTCTGTCGGAATACATCTACCAAAAATAGAGAAAAACTTCTAAGCTTATGCAAATACGTATTCTATGCGGGGCCCCAGTGACGATAGGCTCTGGGCACGGGTCCCGTGCGCCCTTATGGTAAAGCCGGTACTGTCGACATGTACATATATCATAGCCGCTCATGCCGGTGGCTCTTCGCTACACTGTGCTACAAAAACTTAGGCGGTCGTCGGCAAAAAGTCGGGGCGGGTTAAAGAACTCATTTGCACGCCGGTCAATTTGAGTATAACGCGGTGGTCGATACTTCGAGCTTAAACATAAATTGATGCGTGGGTAGATCGACTTTGGTGGAGCGGTGCGCTGTTAACTCATATTATTATGTATATGTATGTATTATTATGTAGCTTGTCGTACAATAAGTCAATAAATGCATTACAAAAATTTCCCATCATCATCTATATAGTAATACGTGAATACGTGAAGCAAAAATTTTGTACCCCTTTTTACGAAAATTGCGCGAACGGATGAGTATGAAATTTCCCACACTTATAGTTTATATAGAGGAGTGCAAAACGCTAATATTTTTTTTTAATTATGCATAAAATATACATTTAATCAATAAATAAAACATTACACACACTACCATATAATTGACACACACACACACACACGCACGCGCGCATATATACTCTTTTGTTTATTGTGTATTGTATTTGTGAATAGATCAAAATTATTAAAACTTATAATTTAAATTATTTATGGTGGAATTTCGACCACTCGGCGTCCACTGCTTATTACTATTATCCTACATTTTCGGATCTAATACTAACGACTCAACAGCCCATCTCATTTTCTTTCATTCCAGTTTTATACGTATCGGCGTAGAGCTTTCCATATTATGCATATTTAAAACTTGTTGGTTTTTAATTTATTTGAAATATTTATTAAAACCATCACATTAAAATCTGGTCAATGAAATACTTTACCGATCGCGAGTCCTGTGAGTAAACACTAATCGTTAATTAAACTATGTTTAAAAGTAAGTACTTTCGAATAAGCTTTACAAAAACATATCATTAAATTAAAAATTACCCATATTTTATAAATCCAAATATCTCAGCAAATGATTCTCACTATCGATGTCTTGCAATAATACTGCAGATGGCGTCGGAATATATATTCTATATATTTAGATATTTACCATACAAAAAAGGTTTGTTTAAAATCACTTCGAAACAAGGACAAAGGGTTACTATCGGTTAATTCACGAACACAAAACGGTTGTCGCGAACGCACGTTAAACGTTTAGCCAACGGGACGGACGGAGAGAGTTTATCCGGCGAAATAGTAGCAGTGGCACACGGACGCATCCCATCCTTATTAGTTGCAATTACATTTAACATTTTTATTGTTATTTATTGCGCGGTCCATATTAAAAAGGCCTATAGTCGCGGCAGCTCAGCGGCTAAACGCTCGCTTTAAATTTTTCATACGTTGAATGGCCCGGGATTAAATTTCTACAACAAAGTTTGATTCGTCATAAGTTGAATGGCCAAATTTCTATAACAAAGTTTAAATTATAATTAACTAGGCAGTTAATTAGACTTAAATATAGAATTTTTATTAGCCTAGTAGTGATAAATAAAAGGGTCAAGTATTTGACAATAAATGTAAGTGCTGGTAAGAAAATCGTTGTGTTACCCCTTCCTAGACAAATAATGTTTTCTACCTTAGCTTTTTGAACTTATAGTCTTGGCAAAAAACCTTGTTTAGAAGCCATCAAGATAAGTTTACGCATTTGTTTTTGTACGACAAATGCAATAAAAGCGTCATTTATTTCAAAGTCTATATGACTTGGGATAATTTATCTTTGTAGTGCAGATATGCGTCATGTAGTGTCTGATTCCCTGTATGCAATACTGACATAGGTATAGGGAGATCGAATCAGACGTGGTTATGCGCGAATACGAAACAACGCATGTTTCAGCGAAGTGTTTACAACTATCAAGCAAAGAGCGCCGCGGACTTATCGCGAATTCGCTTCCGAAACGCGTCGAAATACGTTTCGCTTTACATAAATAAGTGTACGGTATACAACGCAAACCGGTGAGATTAATAATAGCGTGACGGCCCGAGCCGAGGCTCCCTCGGGCGCCCTCGGGCTTAGTCACCACAACGCGTAACCGAGGTTCAGGCTAGACGCCCTGACAGGTCAAGTCTGGCGGATCTGTACAGGCCCCTAAGGCTAAACTCCTGCCAAAAAAAAGGTTTACAACCATCCAGCAAAAAGCGCTTCGGAAGGATACGTGCGCGCGGATTCTATCCCGAAACGCGTCAAAATACGTTTCGGTTTACACAAGTGTACGTAATACAAATCCAGCAAAAAGCGCTTCGGAAGGATACGTGCGCGCGGATTCTATCCCGAAACGCGTCAAAATACGTTTCGGTTTACACAAGTGTACGTAATACAAATCCAGCAAAAAGCGCTTCGGAAGGATACGTGCGCGCGGATTCTATCCCGAAACGCGTCAAAATACGTTTCGGTTTACACAAGTGTACGTAATACAAATCCAGCAAAAAGCGCTTCGGAAGGATACGTGCGCGCGGATCCGCTCCCGGAACGCGTCGAAATACGTTTCGGTTATAGCACCAAGTGGTTTATTTCAGACGGGATGCGGCACAGGATGTTGTTTGTTAGCCGCCCGCCCTATTTATAGACGTCGGAAAGCGTTAACCGAATTCGTAAGCACCGCGATGACTGCTGGTTAATATACTATTAATATACTATGTATATGTTAGATATTTAACAGCATTATCCTTTGTCCCATTGCAGATCTACCTAGCTATATATGACTCCTGGATTTGGTTTATTTAAACGGTAAATCATCTTATTTAAAGTAAAAATACTAATAATAATGTTTCAGTATCAAAAGAGATAATTGTTAGCGACTAGGCCAATGACATTTCCGCATAACTTGTTTTCTCAATCTACTAAGTCGAAGCGTATACAAATTTCATTAATTTAAGGGTTTTCAATAGCACACGAATGGGTTTCCTTAGGGATGGTTAACCGAGATTGAATAACAAGCTAAAGAAGTAAAATTATAGCGTATATGCATAATTATAAGATACAATAACATAACGATGAGATTCGAAACGTTACCCCAATGGTTTTGAACGTAACGGCGAAAGTTTTGTTATTTTTCGTTTCACTTTTTCGGAATAGGCGTTTCCTCCGCGATATAAAGCGAATCATGTTATTGTTGCATTCCTAAGGTCATTGATTGTTGCGAAACAATAACCGGCCTTGGCGACAGTCAAGACCAGCTCGCCTTGCGGTACCTTGGCTGGACGAACCTTGCGTGTCTCCGCTCAATGCACAATTGTCTTTGTGATCATGTATGCGCATATTTAACCATAAAAACAATGGGAAGTTCTAATTTCTATAGGAATACATACATGAAATGATTCGAGACGAAATCAACCGCCCTATTGTTTTGGACCAAGAAACTAAGGAACGTATTAAAAAAAATCCAATTCCATTTTTCATAACTGTAAATATTAAAATTCACTTTTGGTTTTAACATTATCTCTTGAATTATATGGACATACTAATTTAGTAACCTCTCGTCATTTTCAGTATAGAACATTGTGTTAGGCGTCCACGTTAATGGAACGGCTCCATAAACCTGACACACAAGTAAAAGCTTCCTGCAGATGCCTAAATATATTTGGCGGTCACATATGTTAAAAATATCAAAGAAAGGCTCTCTATAAATCTCATGTCAAGATTGATACAAGTGTTATTGTAGGAAAAAATAACATCAAAACCGCTCTAAATTTCCGGTTACTTTCTATGAACATAAAAAATCAAAATCAAAAACCAAAAATATATTATTCATATAGATGTTTGCGCGCTTTTATGAATCGTCAAATGTAGAAGTAAGATTCAACCTTTCGCGTCTTTTAACTCCAAATCTTAATCTAAATTAAATTATTTATATAGACCATAAGTCGAGATTATGTATAATCGAGAACAGATAGGGATAGCTAGCGTAGGTGAGATGTTCCGCAGATAAAAATAAAGAAGAGTTAGTTGGAGAGACACCTTAAGAGGAAGTTAAGTATTATCTGTCTGCACTTGATCTGATTGCAAATAATGTAATCGAGAATCAAAGGGACATTACAACACCGTCGTTACGCAAAATGAGCCCATCCGGAATTACACTATTCGCGATCGATCTTCGGGTTCCAATTCGGCCGCCGCTAGCTTTAATTGCGGGCGGAACGTTAAACTTGATATATGACGTCGATAAATTATCATTATAACGGCCTCGCGTGATCGGCGCAAGCGGTAAACATTACGAACGACATGTCAAACCACGAAATACGCAGCAGATACGAGGTCAATTGCTCGTAAAGATGATTTAATTAAAAGGGAGTAAGTACAGACAAAGCCAACTAATGTTTCCATACGCTTACATCGCTTATTTCGGCAGCACAAGCTAATCGACAGAGAATTTAACTTTGCGGAGCTATTGCGTTTGCCATGCTAATGTCATTTCTGCGGCATGTCTTATGATTAGGGCGCCAAAGCCTGGTATCAATGGCGATGTCGTGAATGGCACGTTATGTTAGAAGGTGGCAAGCAAGCTGGCGGTTCACCTGATGTTAAGTGATAACCGCCACCCATGGACATTTGCAACACCCGTAGGCTTGAGGCTGACTTTCATCGCGACATTTTACTTAACTACTGAGCACGTGATAAATCACTACTTGAAATTGCCAATTTCGTTAGTGCCAGCGCCGGCATTTGACAGTTGCCAAGGTATTGGCTTCAGCCTCGGGGGTCGTGGGTTCGATTCCCACACGTTTCAACTATTTGTGTGACCCACAGATAGTTTGGCATCTGGGTGTTTGTCCATGTGAAATATAATATATATTTCACATGGACAAACGTCTCTACAACACAGGATAATGTTATGCTAAAGTAAGGGCAATGTTAATTTTTTTTTAAGAAAAACTTTATTTATAATATTCTGATGTTTGTACTGAACTCACCTACGACGTATTTCGCGTGAAATCGGCATAGCGCCCCCATAACACACATCTCGTTCGCAACCGTTATTTACGTTTTTGTGTGTTTTTTTTTTTCAATCAATAGGATAACAATGGTCGCCTAATCCACACTTCCTAAGCATTGTGCTCGGAAAAAAAAAGCTAATGTGGAATCAAAGCCGCGCGCGTAGACCGTCACGAATGCACTGATTCCTGAACCACGCGATCGAAATTCCGATGAACGGACGCGCGTTATCCCACAGACAATATGGTCGAATTTGCAATCGATAACGATAAGGAATACGGCGAGTGGGTGTGGGATGAATCAACTAGACGTCACAGCTTTGAAAATTATAGAGACCATTGTCTTCGTTCGCGGTGACGTTTCGCGTGCCACGAATTGGCGCGAAAACGGCGCCGCGGTCTCTTTCTGCACCGCTAGTTTAGAGGGGGACGTGCAATAGATCTTTCGCTGGGATATACGACGTTTCGGCCATGGCGTGACGTAACGGGTTGATCCGCCCGCGGCGCGGTTTCGACTGCGCGTGGGCTTGGCTCCTTCGCGCCGTTTTATTATGCTAACGTATTTATAGACTCTGGTTCGAAATTCGGCCCGAGAACGAGATGTGCGCAATAATAATGCACGGATAGGTTGAACGACCGCTTCGACGGAACGCTGCAACGGTCGCAGACGGCTGGCAATGTATGCGGCGATGGTCTGACCAGACGCGGAATGGACGCGTTTAAAGTGTAAATTTAGACGAATGCACAATCTTTGACGTCTTTCAACACAGACTGGGTGGGCAGAGATAATTAACGCTATCTACGTAATAGCGGGCTCATTTAATCCCAATATTGTGTTAATACACACAGCTCTTCGGAGCTTGCTTTAGGCTATTCACAAATGTTAAATTCTTTTTGACAAAAGAAATCCAAACAAAATGGTACACGCCTCTTAGAAACGAACCCCAGACCTCAGCTCTGACTCCATCCACTACGCTACCGTTGCGTTACACAGATACAGAAATAAAGAAACGACGGTTCAATATTGTAACATAGCTGACCGAAAACGCCCATTCCACTAAGCCAGCGACCTAGTTAACAAAAGTTTATTTCGTTTTACGTCTGCGTCCATTTTTATGATATAACTTTACCGCATCGCCGGATTGGCGGTCAACGAAAATTGCCGCGTCGAAAGCGAATTTATTATATATTCGGAACCGGTAAATAGAGATTAAAGGGCATACATTATGCTTTTATTTAGTACAGTGTCTTTAAAAATTTTACTGTACAATTAAAAAGAATATTGTAATAACTGATATTGTAGATTGATGGTCATTTGTAATTAAAATTGAGAGCCATTGGAAAAACTAGTTTAGGAGTTATGTTGGTTTGTGAAGGAGCAACCGATTACCGATATTAGTTAAGCAAGAGTTGCTGCGATTTGTCTCTATTAAGGAGTTAATTTTTGGTATCGAGTTTCGGGAAGTCGACGTCGCCTGGGATTGTGCCCGTGACTGTACTTGGATATATTTAACTCGTCTAGACTCATCGTCCGTTGACACAAATACCGCAAACATAGGATGCGACGTCCAAAGTCTATGAACGTCTTTATTTTTATTTGGTGCATATATTTAAATGTAAACTTTTTGCGGCCTTGTCTATTTTCAATCATCTTGTGTCACCTTGTGTCAAATTTAACATGCACAATCAGTGATGTTTAATAATATAGATGAAGTATGTCCATACTGCGCGATGTTTAAAAATTACTCCGCTATACATTCGTCTTTTCCGCTATATATATTGTCCATATACGAGTATAAGTAAATGTGACAGATGATACAGAGCGTATGATACGGAACGAAATTGCAGTCTATAGAATTACACCAATTGTCGTAATATGAAGGCCTCAGCTTCGGTGCGATAGTGTCATATCTACCTCATATTTGTATACAATACCACTAAATGCAAATCAGTACAGTCGTAGATTCTTTTTTAGCAATGAAGCTAAATCATTCAAACAACAATTACTGACCTATTTCCTATTACGAAGACTAATTAGAAGACAAGTACCTATTAATTTATAAAAAACAAAATCCGGTTATAACTACTATCACCTCTTTACCCCTATGGCGTAACATATGGGCAGGCAAGACGTGCTCTTGAGACCCATGGTTGATTCGTACTTGAGCTTCGAACATACTACTACCACGGTGCCCTGTTGACTCAAAATCTAAAAATGCATTTAACTAGTTGGAACGTGAGCATTTTAGAACATGTCTAGACTGTAAGCGAAAACAGCATCCGATTAAGATTGGATTCCAAATACGACTGGTGTTGTTAATCCTTGTTTCTAAGGATGTGATGCTGAAGGAAAACACTAAACAATGGAAAAATAGTCGATGAACGCCAATAGACTCCCCCAACAAAGGATCAAGAACACAGATTCCGTATCTATTAACGACAAGCGGTCCTCACAAATTTCTATTCTCGCAGAATATAGTGTAATGTGAATTGACCGAACCTAAATTCATCAGCGACAAAATATGTGACAAATGCTGAGACATGTCGCCGTGCTCGCTGCACAAATGACAGAACTAGTTCACACCGCTCCAGTTCGAACCTATGATAGAATGGAATAGAAAGAAAATCGCAAGCATCGGCATCCAATACCTTTCAATAGATTGTCTTATTCCGTTTATAATGCGGTTTAATTAACGCATTTAATAATTAAATTTATGCGTTTTCCCGCTGAGGTCAGTAGCTTTTCTTTTCCAAACCGATAGTAGTATTTTGATAATCAATAACTAGTTTTAATGTTGAGAAAATAAGAACACAAAGCCCTTACGACCGTTGTATAATCTGTGGTCGTGTCACATCACTTATTTTATCTGTGCCTTTCTTTTCTCTTCCTCTTTCCGCTTGCGCGTACGTCTATGTCGGTTCGGTCAACTTCAGAATATTGTAAATCGTAGTTAATCTTTAAATAAAACAAAGTAAACTCGCTTTTATTTTATCATTTATTGCTTCTGCATTGAATGAAGATATTTGAATTTGAATCTGCACAATATACACGCACGTCTTTGTGTAGGAATTGAAAGAGTCATAATTCGGTCAAGCGTCATTCAGCGGATACGTGAGTCAGCCAAACATTCCCAAACACCGGTGCGATGCGATGGCATTTTGTGAAACAAAATAATAACGCCTCTTGAATAGCTGCCTCATTCGCAATCCTTTTACATTTCAAGGATACAATTAATGAATCTTACACACGACTCAGTTAGTTACCATAAGAAAAATTAAATTTGCCAACGAAAAAAATTTTAAACAACTTCGACGCAATTTTTTTCACCTTGTAACCGTATTTAAGCAAATTAAAGTTCAGTAAAGAGACTGAAATAAGTCAGCCTTCTATATTTGCATAAATTATTTGGAGCAAAAACATTTTATAACCTATATTTATGACCTTAAGACCTTCGCTACTCGTCGATTCTTATTTTTTTTAAAGTTAATAGAAAAAAATCCAACGATCCATTAACTTTATATTTACTTAGGTACATATCATGGATATAAAAGTCAAATAAGACAATAATAAACTAAAAAAGTCAGTAATAGACATTTACTTATAACGTTTACCATCAACGAATAATTAGTCAATTACAAACACGTGGAAGATTCAAAGATTAGTCCAGTTAGTATCAGAAAAAAAAACACTCACCACGATCAGATGGGGCCCAAAAGCCGCAGAATTTGTACCGCAACAGCACGACCATCTCGCTTAAGGCGGTAAACAGATAATCGCTGGAGCACTGCTTCAAGCCGCTGCTTTCGCTAGTATTCGCGGGACAATTATTCAAATTGAGTGCCATAGACTCGTCAGACTACTGGAGTATTTCTACTGAGCCGGCGTTGACAACTTGTAATCACTGAAGATGCGCGCAGACTAACTCCGGAACAAAATATCGGTAGAAAAGGCAAACAGGACGCCCGACATTGCTGTAGATAACGAGTAAAAAAAGATTAACGACGATTTCACTAATGACTGCACGGCCCTTTGTTGGGAACAATCGGGTTTGGGCAAACATTTCCCGCTAACAATTACCGAGCGTCCAGAAAACAAACAAACAAACAGCTTCGGAATAAAATCACTCAATAGCCAAATTTAGATGTCGTCCATATCTGAAGTACGGACCGTGGGTTACTATTTCAATGACACGTGCCATATAATTTTATAATCTCCAAATGTTAATGTCTGCAAGTAGCGCACTATGCGTCGCGTCGTCCTCACCTATGACGTAATAGTTCAACGCCATGAGTACGGCAACGAAAGTTTTAAAGTAATGGAAAATGTGAAAGGATTTTCCGGATGATAGATGGATCTTTTTTAAAGATAAAATCCAATAAGAAAAACACGAAGGACACTCTACATAAGCATCGAGAATTTTATTCGACCGTGTGGCTGGTACCATCTAAACGTAAACAAACGTAAACTACAAAAACTAAAAATTTAAATAATATTCAAAACAGGTCATTATTAATTCACGGAACTGTCGTTTCGGGTGAGACGCAAATACATGTGCGCGATGTTTTCATAATTCCAATTTCCAACAGCGTTCGGTTGCCGATAACGGATTTGGGATGCCGATTGTAGTTTGAGAAACACGCGGTCCACCTGTCTTGGACCACGTACGATGTGGAAAAGCCTTTATCTCTCTTATTCACTTATTGCGTTTGTTCTGAAAGCCTTTCTTTGTAGGGGCCAGACACCTGTTTATTCGTCATGACAGAGGTGGACGAACGTGTTGATATTTGTTTGATAATACCTTTGTTTAAGATCTCTTTCATTCGAAGTTACTTTTGAAAATTAACTGATAAAATTATGGATAACGTACGAGACAGTTTTGCACAATGGACACATTTTTTTCAAATTATATGACTCTACATAACTCTGAATCAATTCTGTTGCGATCTTATGTATGAAGGCCACGGATTGTTTTTTGTGCAATAATCGATTTAGTCGAGTAATTCCATCGTTTATTCCTATTCGATGTCTCCTCCGTGTCATTTTGATAAAGAACTTTATGTCTTTGTTATAATGATAAAGAAGGCTGTTGTATGTAACGTTTTAACAACACTGTGTGCAAAGAAACTTGTTTAACTCTTTTGATAAATTTTACTACAATAATAATAATAAAGACCGCTAAGCATGTTATCATTACTTGGAAGAAGAGGCAGATCTCAGACGCAAACGATATACATATAATCCATAAACTCCGCGCAGAAACGAAACACTATCAATAACTTAAGATAAGCCGCACCGCATTAACTTGCTAAACTTTATATTACGGATATTAAGTGCCGCGTGCTCGACTTAATCAAGTGATGGTAAGCGATGTTGTCGTAGGGCTCAGTTTACTTACAAATCCTACTAACTTTGTTGATTTTTATATGAAAAAACTCCACTCATATAGTAAGTGGCGATGCAACCAAGGTTGGTTGGATCTCAGTAAACTTAACACTTCGTAAAAAATAAACTTAATCAACCCACAATATAAACAATGCAAATACAATTGACGAAGGACTAACCGTTAAATCGCCAACGCGGCCAAGCCCGACCGCCCACTTCCAAACGGGAACAGTGTGCTGAGCCGTGGACCTGACTGGAATCTATGAGACGGCCGCTCGATTTCGCCCCTCATTCAAATGTACGAATTGAGGCGTTCGGCGCGGCAAAGTGGGTTGGCAGCAATGGAGCACTGCCCCAGTCGAGAGATAGCTTTTTATATAGAAACCGAGCAAGTCCCACACGCTACAGGTCTTGTATCTTGTATTAACTGATGTTAACGCTTTCAGTCCCGAGAATATTAAAGCTTCATCGAACGCAGAACCGGTGGGCTAGCCAGAACCCACGGGTTTGAGGCCCTCCACAGTTGGTAGGGCCATGCATGTGCTTATGCGTGCGTTACGTTTACGTGGGGTAATGCCTTGACATACCCGCCCTCGCGGGGGCAGGAGCGGGTTATGTCGGACTCGCACCGACTAAAACCCCCACGATGTTCCACCTAGGCGCATATCGGCAGGGTCACGGGAACGCTTTCGCACACTTCCGCGACCCTGCCAGCGCTGGCCGCCTCAGCAGCCCCCTCCCGGGGTGCGTGCGTTACCTAAGGAGTATCGCCTACGGGCTATCGAGGTTCGGTGCCGTTGACTGTGCTACGCAACAAGTGTGTGTAGAAAGGAGCTTTCGATATGAACAGCACCTCTGAATAAAGGGTTTGTCGTATCGGTCTATCTGAATGCCGCAGAAAACGGCTAATACAATAAAGTATAAGTGCGGGGTGATTCTTCCAAGGAGTTGGCTTCGGCTTGGAGCTTCACTTAATTGGGCAATGTTTTTGCATTCGGTCCTGAGACGGTCGTAAATCTTTCTCGTTAACAATTCCCAATTTATTACATGTAAAAAATATTAATTTAGTCACACATCTCCATATTTGGTTAAAGAGATGGCGTAAAGTGTACACATATATCGTGCAACCATCGTCGGTAATTAGTTATAATGTTAAATATGATAAAATAGTATGACTAGGATTTTCTAACCGCCCGAGGCGCCTGTGCCTTTCATATCGTCATGTAAAGATAACTTATAACGTCAAACGGTGTAAACAACTTGATAAACGTACATTATTTAAATATGGATATCGTCAATTCGAAGTCCGCTCCATTGTCGAAAGGTATACGCATATCGTTATTGGAATAATGATGCGCGTCACATATCGCTGGATGCATTCCTTGACGCATGACTCCAGCATGCGTCAATGCGCCGACTGTTGCTAGGCGAATTTCGATTTTTATATTATACTAGCTATTCCTAGCAGCTTTGCTTGCGTTTTGCATTTGATTGCCTAAAGCGATTTCGTTAAGTGTACTCACATTACATTGCTTGTTCTTTTTCATGGAAAAAGGAGGCAAAAACGCACCCATAGATAATTGTAACATCGGAGGTGTCACAATTGCGTAGCCGGCCTTTAAGATAGGAGTAGGCTCTCTTCTTGAAGGTCTCTTATTCGTATCGCTCCGGAAACACCGCCGGCGACAACTGGTTTCACAACTTACCAATACGTTTATTTAATTCGCCTATTATCATTATGTTTATGAAACGGTAAGCCAGTGCACGAAAAGATCCATATAAGCGGCGTATTTTGGTCGACTTCTTTGATGAACACCACGATAGCTCGCCTCCTAAGAGTTATGTGTAATATTATACTAGCTTAACCAGCCAAGTTGAACTGCAGCTCTGTCGATATAGTATGAACGGGTTAGCAAAATAACATTATTCTGGAAGAATATGGAGGGTCACCAGAAAAGCACCTTACTCAATTCTATGCCCTAAAAGGAATCAATCAATGTCACAAATGGAGGTTAGAAATTATTCCCTTACGGAGGAATAAATAGAAAACACAGACGACGATCAACTGGAAAGTATAAAAACGATTTAGTCTCCAAAACACGCATATGAAAGGTTGTGTCGATGAACCGATTACCTTTTTACTTCACCAAGTTTTGCGATTACAAACAGGTGGTTTTTGATAATTTATCAAAGATGACTCTGATAATTGATACTTTGATAAATGTTGTGTAAATTGAAACACTTATCTTATCGTCAAGTTAAATATATTAGCTATATGCACAGCAATATACAATAATCTTTCGGTTCGTAGTTTAACATGTTTAAATAAAATAAGAGAAATTATAACATTAGGAAAATTACACATTAGGGAGATTTTATCTGTAAGATATTTATCTTTGTCCGGTGCTGTAATAATTTATTAATGAACCGTTCGGTGCGTATTGCTTAGAAAAGTGCCAACGAGTGTCACTCCACTGATTCAGAATGGTCTTTTGAATCAATATTTCACAATTTGCATACATTACGTATTAAGAACCGACGACAATATACCAATTTGATAAATACCTCCAAATATCCTGGTCATGATCTTCAGAATAAATGACATTTACTGGAAATAGAACTAATGACAGTAAAGTATTTTTCTTCTTTATCAGAAATCTTCAAAGAATCTATTAATTCAACCATTAATCCAACGTAGAGTATCGTAAATGTGGATCCCTAAGTTAATAAAACTGAACTTACAATAACAAATTTCGCTAGTGAAGTGCTAAATGGAATCTCTGAGTGTGGTCGTTAGTACGGTAATACGTTCATAATGTAACATCAAGGTAATGAAGACAATCTTAAGATTTATTTTTATGTCCAATATCCAAGTTTTTAATATCAAGTTTCAGTGTTTGCCTAAGAGATGATAACGCTTAAAAAGTACCACTTTGTGGGTATTACAATAGTCGATAGAAAGGCTGGCATTCCCACGCTTCCCAACACCATATCTTGTAGACCCCGCGGTTTTCACACGTCTACGGTTACCAACATGGCTTTTGCTTATTTTAAGGCTTATGAAATGAAAGCGGAATGTATACCATCTTTCGGATGTTGCCTTCTTTTTCATGCATTTCTAGATATTTTTTACTATCAATGATATGCTAATTCTATAAATACACCTAACTATACAAGTGGATTTATTTAAGCTTAAGAATCATATGACATAGTTTTATTTATAAAACTTTAATCTCATCTTTTAAAGCTATTAAAACTTAGATATTAATATGTTTCCACTTGATATTTAGAGCACAGTTCATCCATAATTTGGCGTTTAATAATATAATTAATGAAATGTATCCGGAAAAACAATAATTGCACTGCACTCGAATCCATAACACTTGAAGTTGTAAAGGCACCAATGTCTTTGTAATTTTATTCTAACTGCTGATAAGTCCACGCCCTTCAACAATGGCAGAC